TCCAGCAATGGTGAAATGCTCCCCAATTTCTAGGATAGTGATAGTAGTAGGTTCGAGTAATGTCTGGGTTCTGCTTTAACCTAAATGCTCTTTTAGAACTTCCATAAAATTTTGATAACAACTGAAAGTGTTCCTTAGGATATCTTATGTAGTTTGTTACAAGTTATTTCATGTTTCTAGAATCTTCTAGGTTTTTCTACTTAAGTGTTATATATAGTATGATGTAAGGTAGGATGAGCATTGAAAGAAATATTACATCTCTTTGAAGCTTTAAGCTTGAGTTTATCCTTGTTCCCTAGAGTGGGATTAAAATCCTTTTTGTAGGTCGATTCTTCCGATGATCCACTACATCAGTTGGTATCAGAGCCTGGAGCTTGCGAAGATCGATGGACTGCAGAAGAAGGTCGGCTATCGACGACGATCGAAGCCGAAGAATAAGAAGGGTGGTCGACGACGATCGACACCAAAGAAGGTGGGTTGTCGACGATGATCGAAGCCGGATTGCCTTCTATCAAGCTCAAGCGAAGGAATCACTTGATCGGGTAGACAGAAAGCTTGATCGGATAGACATAAACTTTGATCCATAAAGAGAATGCGAATGTCGCCGGCAACCATACCGTCGTCTTCGTCTTTGCTCCTCTCGTCCGCTTCACGAGATCGTAAACATATTCGCAATCAACCACCAATCGACCATGATTACCCTCCGCTTGACTTCCGCTCCGGTGGCGCGACCCCCCTCCTCTTCAATGCCAGATCCGTGATCCCAAACAACACCAACGTCCTCGGACACAGCTCGACAATCGCCTTAGCGAACTCGTGTCTCCACCTCTGCTCCTGCATACACCTGTCCCCAAGCACCCCCTTCCGCTCCAGTCTGAGATTTCTCGATTGGATATGTCCGCACTCGGCCGACTGCCTCCAGCACGTGAACATAATCGAGACTCTACCACTAACAATAGCATCAAGAGCAATTCCACAGCTTGTGTCCAAACCAATCTCCCACAGCCCGACAAGACCGACTATATGCAGCCGACTGCTTCCGATAACGAGTGCAGATTCGAAGATGAAATGGAGCAATCAGAAGCCCATATAGATTCGAATGCGGATATGAACGACGACGAAGATTCCAGTTCAGACTTGCTAGCTGGACCGTAAGACAGATGCTGATCATGGCCTAACACCGAACGAACACATTTCCTCGACCCTGTGGATGATAAATGATGAAGAGAAAAGTAAGATATCGCGCTCTGAATTTTTTGTGCACGAGAATGTAGAGAAGAAAAATACCCATTCCAGCCCATTTGTTTCTTTTGATGATTTATTTAGTGAAAAAACTGACATAAACCAGAAGAAGGATCAGGAGAACTCTATTAATGTGGACTATCAGAAGGTCAACATGAATGCTTCTCTGTTTGGAAGCTTAATGAAGACAAAAGTTAATATACATCAGGTTTCAACCATGTGTTCCGATGAAACATCATTTTTCTCGATTTCAAAGTTGTCTGGAGACCTAATGAAGTTTAAGATTGAAACTTCTGAGAACAGTGAGAATGGGAGCAAGCAACAAGATGTTTTTATAATGGGCAGTGGTGATGGGGATGTTTATACTACAGGTGTGCAAAGGTCCTATCAGAATTTTACTGTCAAAGTCTATCCAGTGGAATGCTCTCAAACTATTCGACGAAATGTCACCGAAGGATCTGATACTAAATTTGTTGGGCTAGGAATCCCTATGGCAAGCCTTGTTTTCTACGCATCTTCTGTTAGACCAAGTAATCCTTTGAGGCATGATAGATGGAACATGAGTTTTGCTTCTAACATAAGAAAACTTCTTAGAAATGCCATGGGTTCTTGGCATTTGGGGAATGGTGGCCATATGAATGATGGTGTTGCTTTCTCGCCATTAGAGGAGTTTAAAAACAACAAGAGAAACTATTTTGAACTTTCGGATGTTGATGGTCATCTTGTTGAGATTAGTGCTGATAACTATGAGGGTCGATTTATGCAACAGAAATTTGGAATCGCTACTGCGATGGAGAACGTCATGTTTGTTGAAATATTGCCTCAAGCATTTTCTGATGTGTTCAAAAATATATCTATGGAGAATGGTATAGAAGTTGATGGCCTTGCTTTAGTTAGTGTTCTTCAAGCTTATAGTTTTGTTGGGTATGTTAATTATGGAAGATCAGTGCATGGACATATGTTCTGAATAAGATTTGAGGCTGATTTATTCATCATGTTCTTTGGGTACCAACAGAATGGTGCTGCCGAGAAAGCCATAACATTCTTCTTCAAAATCTTCGATCCAGGAGGACTGATTTTAATATCTACCTCTACCTCCCTACCGATGACGAGTCTCGACGGAGTCGAGCTCTTTTGACGCAAGGGGAGAATGATGCAGAGCATTTTAAGCCTAAAGTGTTCCTTAGGATATCTTATGTAGTTTGTTGCAAGTTATTTCATGTTTCTAGAATCTTCTAGGTTTTTCTACTTAAGTGTTATATGTAGTATGATGTACGGTAGGAGGATCATTGAATGAAATATTACATCTCTTTGAAGCTTTAAGCTTGAGTTTATCCTTGTTCCTTAGAGTGGGATTAAAATCCTTCTTGTAGGTCGATTCTTCCGACGATCCACTACATCAATTACTAGGTAGTATTGTAAAGTGTCTACATTTGACCTTATGCCTTACTTATATAATTAATTAATATTAATATTTTGGACAACCTTTCATTATTTAAGAAAATATATCTATATCAGGTGCCCAATCTACGGCATTAACTTATATGGGAGTTTTTCTCTCTTGAATCTTATTCAACTACCATAACATATGCAAGGGCTCATGTGGGAACTGTAGGCGGAAATTCATTAATGAGTACTTTGCTAGGGAATACATCTATAAATGTTCCTAGAGAGCATATAATGTTGAGAATAGTGCATTGTACTGAGAGTAATGTATGCTACCAGTCAGGTTGGTGTTATCTAGCCTCCTATGCTTGGGCAACAACAATAAACAAGTAATGTTCTAATAGGATCATACTAAAACAAGTAATGTTCTATGTAGTCTAACTTGATAGAAATGAGAGTGCAAGGGTCTAAAATGAAAAATTTGTTCGTTAAAAGAGCATACCAACTTTGGTGTTGAGTAGCCAAAATAGAAAATCATCGATCTTATCAGCTCAAGAAGAATTAATGATGTCAGTTATGATTAGCCTCAATATGATGTTAAGTCCTATAGATAGTTATGATCTGTCAAATGGGATCCTAATGCCAAGGTACCTAAAATCAAAGTCTAGCTCAAAAGACATTATAAAGGTCAAAAGAGAGTTTATTGATCTCCATTTCCAACATCTTCTTCTAAGTATATCCAAAAATAGCTCTTATCATTTTTCCAATTAATGCAAAAATCATGCAAGTACTCTTGCCTTTGGCCTCCCCTAGAATCCTAATTTAAGATTACATTAGGTTATGGTATCTCTTATTCCTCTTCATTTCATTCTTATGAAGCCATCAAGCCTCTCTAATTGAGATTCTTCCTTCTCCTAAAACCTTAGTCATCAACATTCCTTTCTCCTTCAACTAAAGGTGATAATAGAGAACTTTCTCTCAGCAAATTGCTTTTGATAGTCTTGCCTAGATAAAATGATTCCACTAGTGTTGGTTATTGATTACAAATGATGCCCATCTTTGAGGGAAGGTGCTAGCTCAATGTAGCAAATATATATTATATACAACACATTTCTTAGAGAAAGTTCTCAAGAGAGTGTTAGCCTATTCATTTGGCCGGTATGACTATATTTGAGTAATATATGTCAAAGGGATGGTAATTGGCTAGTTATGGAGGGCAGAAGGATTGTACTCAATGACACAGGTCGAAAGGACCGTAGTTAGGTGATGATAATTAGAGGGATCATAATTGGCAGACGACGGAGGTCAGAAGAACTGTAGTTGGACAACAGTAGTCGAAGGGATCATAATCAATGATCAACAGTGGTTGCATGGAAGGACTGTAGTTAGATGGTGGTAATTTAACAGACCATAGTCAACCGGCGACAGTGGTCAGAAGGAACTTAGTCATGTGATGATGGTCCAAGGGATCATATTAGGATATGAAAAAGATTCAGGGAAAATTTGAAGTGTTTCACCATACAACTCATATTGATTCTGTAAAATAAAATGGAGCATTCATCAAGCATTTAAAGTGCCTTATTCATCTCAGAATTAAGCAATCATGGGCTTGTTGGATTCCTCTTGTCGAGCCGCTTGATTCGATTATAAATGCCAATTTGGATATCATTTGGTCATCCAATTAATATTTTGATGAATTTAAATATATTTTAGTCCTTCGATTTGAGCTCTGGATTCCGATTGAACTTATTTCAGTATCGTTGGGCTAGCTTTGTCGAGGCATTCAATTTGATTATAAGTTTTGATTATAAGTTAGCTAAATTTGGAGTTTGGATGGTCTCAAATTTTAATTTTGAAAGTTTCTAACTTAATATGCCTCAAGATTTGTGCTCAATCAAATCAATTTTTGGTGATGTATCAATTTTAATCAAAAGTATTATCACAAAATTATTTCTCTTGGATTGTAATTAATTATAAGTGCTTGCTCTCATAAGTCATAAGAAATATATACTCCATAATAAATTATTCTTATTTATTCCATATTATTTTGAGAAAAATTTCTTGGATTATAGATATTTTTTTATTCTATTTTTTATTGTTAAATCCCTTAGAAAATATCATTTTATTTTCAAGATAATATATTATTCTCTATCATAAAAATATAATTTTTTTATGATATAATTTTTAAATACAAAGCTTATTTTCCTTATATTAACAAAACCACATAGTTAAATTTCTTATATTTTATTAGAAATATAGACTGAAATAGATAAGACATTTTCTTTTAGCCGCGCCGGTGAAATACCATTCCTGTAACTAGAAAATTGTGCGAGGGTTTGTCATGTAATAAGAAAATGTCCAGAAAGGGCAATGCCCAAAAACACAAACAGCAGAATAAAGTATTCATTTTGTCCCCAAAACTACCAGTTTTTCAAGAAAAAAACCCATATATTTCACTCCGCCCCCCTTCTACCTGGTAGTTCTGCCCTGAGAGACCGTCCATGGCGATCTCGCCACGCCCGGCGGCTGTGGTTGAGACGGTGGAGGAAATCATGAGAACATATAGGTCTTTGCCGGCGCGGCCAACCATCGAGGAAGTTGAGGCGGCGACGGCAATACTAACGAGCTCTAACTGCGAGGAGGAAGCCAAGATCGATGAGTTAAGCCGAAAAAGTAAGCCCAACGGCGTCCCCGATGAGCTCTTCTTTGTTCTGCAGGAGGTCAAACGCAACACCGTCCAACTCCTGGCTCTTGAGCAGCGCCGCGATGCCCTTCGCGTGCTCGACCTGGATCGGCGCTTTAGGGTGCTCGATGAGCTCATACAGAGGGCATCCAAGTTAGTTTCCGACGAATATGGAGATGACAGGGAGGATAATCCAAAGCCTATTGTTGGTTTGAGCGTTCCTCTGCCGATGATTGATCGGAGCTTGGTGACGAAGGAAAAGGAAGTGAAAGCGGGTTCTGATTTGCCCAAGGAATTGGGCCGTGATTCTTCTTTGAAATCTGAGATTCCTTCAGGTTCTACTACGCTCAGCTTCAACCTTTTTTTTTTTAATATTTATCCGTATTGGGATGACTAATCGCAAAAGACGAATCTTTGCGGGGTTTTGGGGATTTTTTTCCCCTAGTTGTTTTACTTGCTTCTGATTTTGGGTTCTTCTATGGGATTAATTAACAAAAACTAGCCCCTCCTCTTTCTATTAACCGCATCAGGCTCCTGCGTATGTGCCTACTCTTTTGTTGTGGTGTGGGGAATTGACTAAGAGCTAATTTACAAAGACTAGCATCTCCTCTTCTAATTTGGTCAGATTGGTTGATGTAGATTTATGTTGACTTACCATTTAAGTATGGATTATGACCATTTTCCCCGTTGCTCTGATGAAGCTTTGGTTTATTTAAAAGGAATTCCTACCTTTATCAATATAGTAATATTTTTTCATGAGATTGGGCTCGACAGTTTCTCTTTTACAGAAGTTATATTAGGTTTGCTTTTGTAATTCCGATATAGAAAAAGGTTGTAGATATAAGTTCCTTTTTGTAAGATTCAAAGGGATTGACATTGTAATTTCAAAATATATGTTTTTAGATATCACTTTCATGTTATTGCAGGCAGCTTTAAACCTCCTTAAGGACCATGAAGTTGAACCCTTAAACATCAAGTTGTAACTGTTGATGTTTCGTTAAGAACTCCATAGGCCAAAGCTGACAATAGATGGTTGGAAGAGTTTGGATGGTGACAAACCAAAAGATGAGAATTAAATGTTATGGAGGACAAAGTGCAATGTCATGAGAGTGACCACTTGAACCTATTTATGATAAAGTGTTGCATGATGAGAGCTGCCTCTTGAACCTATAGGAGTCATCTCCAATGGGTTGAAAGAATTTTCGTGGCCAATGATTATAGATTGTGTAAGACTACTAACGAGGATGTTAGTTTTTTAAGCGGGGGAGATTTTTTTTATCCCTAAAGTATAATGAGCTTAACTCTTAATGATTTAGATGATTTTTAGTGTAATAGTTGATGTTTCATCAGAAAATATGAAGAGAAGCATGATAGCTTGAGCACTCTGAGGAAGTTTTTGCTAAGAGATTTGAACTGTGGCTATGTTAGGCTAAATAGAAATAGCAATATCTCAATTGTTGATAGTTTGGGTTGTCACAGTGGGTTTGTGGTTTGAAATATGATAATGATTTTTATTCAATAATTTTGGAAATTTGTCTTTAGATATAACTAAGGGCCGTTTGAGTAGCTTGAAAGTAAAAGATCATGTTTTGGAAGATGGTGAAATTTTTTAGATCCCAGCATTTTTTACTTGGATGTAGTTGAAAAACAACTTAATTTTAATTCCACAATTTCCTTCAAAATCTCCTCAAATATAAATATTTCATTTTAGTACATTAAAACAAAGGAAAGAAAATCATTATTTTCGTATGTTTTCTATATGCATGCAATCAAATGGAACCTGAAGAAGATTGGTATCCTTGGTGGATTTCATGGTAAGACTGTTGGGGCTGCGAGGTTGGATGGTTTTGGATTTCTTTTATGGGGCTTTGCTGCTTTTTTTGATTTGGGATCGTGCTCTTCTTATTGTTTGATTTGTTCTAATTTTTATTTACTTTTCTTACTAGCTTGGTATTATGTATTTCATTTTAAAAATTGTATTATTAGTCTAGGCCTCAATTCTCCTCCATGAAAATGTAAATTCTCTTATGATCAAAGGCATAAATCTCTGTACTTTTACTGCATTTTGTTTGCTTGCATTTTTTTCATCAAGATGTCTAGTCTTACTTGATGCATCTTTTTATCAATCAAAATAGGCAAAGACACGGAGAAATTAAGTCTCATAATGGTTGCAAGCTTGATTGAGACTTTGGCCAAAAAGGGTGCTGGAGTTCTTGATCTTCAAGGTAAGCTGATGGATCAAATTGAGTGGTTACCGACTTCACTTGGAAAGTTACAAGATGTTACTGAACTAAATTTGTCGGAGAATCGAATCATGGCTATCCCACCTACTATTGGCAGCCTACGTTTCTTAACAAAGCTTGATATCCATTCCAACCAGCTGACAAATCTGCCGGACTCCATTGGAGAACTTTCAAGTCTTGTGGAACTCGACCTTCATGGGAACAAATTAATTTCTCTCCCTATTTCGTTCGGAAACCTCACTAACCTAGCAAATCTTGACCTGAGTTGCAATCAGTTATCAATGCTTCCTGATACATTTGGGAAACTAACTAATCTGAGAAGATTAATCCTTGAAACAAATGAACTTGAAGAACTCCCCTACACTATTGGATCTTGGATTTGTCTGGTTGAGCTCAGGTTAGATTTCAATCACCTCAAAGCACTCCCTGAAGCCATTGGCAAGCTTGAAAACCTAGAAATTTTGACATTGCACTACAACCGAATCAAAAGTCTGCCTACCACAATGGCTTCACTTAACAAGCTGAAGGAGCTTGATGCTAGCTTTAATGAGCTGGAATCAGTCCCTGAAAGCCTTTGCTTTGCTATCAACCTTGTGAAGCTTGATGTTGGGAGAAATTTCGCAGATCTCAGATCTCTACCGAGATCGATTGGAAATCTTGAGAATCTTGAAGAGTTGGATATAAGCAGCAATCAGATAAGGGTATTACCCGACTCCTTCAGATTTCTTTCAAAGCTGAGAGTGCTTCTTGCAGATGAGACTCCATTAGAAGTGCCACCAAGAGAAATTGTTAAACTGGGAGCCCAAGTTTGTGAATAACTTCATTCTCTTTTTCATATTTTAAATGATGTTTCTCCTTTCCTCTTCTCACATATCTATTTGCTTGACAGGCAGTTGTTCAGTACATGGCTGATTTAGTTGCAGCAAGACAAGCCAGCCCCAGGCCTGCTCAGAAAAAGAGCTTATGGTCATGGATTTGTTCCATGATTTTCTGTCGTCCGAAGAACAAGATATCCATTACGAAATCTTGAAATGTCGCAGTGGTTGTAAATAAGCTTGCTTTCAAAATTTTCCTGCTTGCCTCATATGCCTACTGTTATGGCATCTGTCATTGTAACTTAATTTCATCAGGGGTGTTGTGTTATCGTTTGTAAAATGAAGAACCAGTATTTTTTTCATTGTTTTATGAGCAAAAAACTTTATCTTTATGATATTATTGTAGATTTCTAGGTTTCTATTTTGTGATTTTGGTAACTTTGTTTTCTGAGTAAGTATTTTATTTTATAACATTTTCACGAACACAGAAGCTCTGTTTAATGTTCTCAAGGTGTGCATGCCTGGTTGGTGTCGATAGCCTGACAAAAGGATAAGCTTTGTGAAAAAAGTTTTTTTTTTTCCGGATTCAGCTCTGAACTATCTGGAAGTATCCTATTGCTTTATAATCAATAAAAGGTTTATTTTTGAGAAGCACGAAAATGTATTTCTTCACCGCAGCATCAGCCTCACCCACTATGAGGTCATCTGTGCCAACGAGAGATTATTACGTGGAGAGATCGGATGCAGAGCTGTTTCAAGTTTTGTTTCTGTGAATGGTAAAAGTGCAGTGGTGAACAATAAATATTTATTTCACTGTTCTTTTACTGTTCGCAGAGATAAATTGGACGCAGCTCTACATCTGGCCTCCGCACTTAACGAGTGAAATATCAGTTCTGATGAGCAAATTCGTTTATATTGTTTTCTATATGCTTTGTCGATGCGATGCCTTATTTTGTCTTATTTTTGTGGTCTATATGCTATTAGCTTCAAATATAAATTTATTTAGCATTTAATTATTTATCTAATATGTACCTATCATTACAGATTTTGTATTAAGCTTAAATCTATTAACATCTAACTTTTGAAAGAGCTTAGATTTCCTTAATTATTTAACAGAAGTCCAGTCCAATTCTCTCTCTCTCTCTCATGCACAATTTTATTGATTCAAAGTCACACTATTAATTTCAAATTTACAATTTTTTCCTAGAATAAAATAAATAGATTTGATTATGGTACTCTATCTTAATAATCATGGAGTCTTTCATTTGAGATACAGCTCATTTATTATAATCTTCTTAAAACTAAATTATCCTCTTTCATAATGCACGAATATATCAAATGTATGCATTTTTATTGCAATTATATGGATATTATTCTAGATCGTTGAAATTGAGACAATTAAGCACTAATCAATTGAATGACAGATAGTAATTAACTGTGTTATGTGTTTCATTTTACATTAGATTTTGAAATGGTGAGGGTGTTTTGTTGATCGAGATTAGATTAGCTGATAATTACATCTCCTAATATCGACAAATTATGTAAAATGGGCCACAGCTAATATCATTGCCAACTGGCAATTAGAAACTAAAGGTGATAAAGATGGATGCAGCAAAGAGTGGGAACGGCTTGACATCTGTGTTGAAGATCAGCTTAACCAGTCAATAGCTACGTGGATATAATTAGTGGTTATTAGATTTTTTTTTTCTTTGAACATTTAGATTAATTAATATATGCATATCATATATATAATGGAATCTGTGGCCTCTTTGTTGGCAGTCAAAGCTCCCAACCAACAGATCATAGTGAGCTAAATATGATTATTAGAGTTAAAAAGCATGTTAATTTCATCAAGTTAGAGATGTATGAATGGCCAATGATTGCTTAAGGATTTCTTGAAGAATTCAAGCTCCATTGACAGGGTTTTTTTTTGGTTGGTTAGCTTTTGGCTCTTTTGGCTGTGGAAATCATCGATAGGGTTTTCTTTAGGCTTTATTGGGCATGAAAATTATAAAATTGTGTGATTACTCATAAGCTTTTCTCGGGCCTTGAGCCCTCTTGATCGGGCTTAAAAATTCCTGAGAACTCCTTTTTTTTTTTGAGATAATTCATATTTTGAGAGATTATTCTATGCGGACGTTGAACGCAGTTTACGTCAGTGATATCGAGCCGAGTACCGAACACGGAGTGATATGGCGCATTCTAGTTGGTCTCCAAAATAGGTTGGCTTCCGCACAAAATAATTTCACTTTTTCATTGATTTGATTTTTAAATTAGCCTAGTTAATTAATTTAGGATTTAAAGCTTAAAAAAACTTAGTCAATCATATTATTTTGAAACATTAGTTCGGTTCAATTCTACATGAATCAAAGTGTGATTAATTCTAACATGTACTGAGAAGAATTTCAAATAATCTTTCAAGCAATTATAAATTTGACATATAAAATAGATAACGTTCATCTTAATCTTTTTTTTTCACTTATTTAAGATTAGAAAAAAATATAATTTAATTATTTGTTTAATCAATATTAAAAAAATAATAATAATAGTAAAAAATACAACTGCTAATTGAATTGATATATAACAACCAAATAAAACCAATCAAATAAAGTCAACTTTTCATTTTAACAAAACAATGCACACTGCTACGAAAAATTATTAGGTGCGGAGTGCATACCGTCCGCACAAGTACTGGGTACCTAGCAGTACCCAGCGGTACCGAGTGCGGGTACCGCGGTACCCCAATACTTGTGTAGACGGTTCTCCCCGTCTGCACTTTGCACCTAATAATACGGAGCTCTCTCTAAGGCATGAAAAATCATACAACATCCTGTAGGCTATAGATGACCACTCGGAAGATTTCCACAAGCTTACCGCTCTGCTTAGCTTGAAAAATTTCACAGTTCTAAATATTTCAAATACAACAAATTATTCTATGCGTACACCGGACTGCTGGGAGATAAATCACAATGCGTCAAATCACTCAGTACATAGCAGTATATAGCACTAGTACACATCAAACGAATGACATGGCTCATTCTGATTTACCTCCAAACAACGTCCATATCCACCATGCAGAATAATTTCACCTCAAATATACCAGGGTTTTGTTTGAAATGTTTTTTTTATTGTTTCTTAATGGAATTTTTAATATAAAAAATTAATTTTTTACAGCTACTTTGTAAAGAAAATAATATCAAATGAAGCCTGAAATATTTAAAGATACTGAAAAGGGTATTGTAAAATCTAGGGTTACTACTGGGATCGCTATCAAATTTATTATTTTTTAAGATTTGTGCTAGCACTATCTTATAGATTAAACCTATCAAATTTGCTATTAGAAATATGATTTCCTCATTTTTTGGAATATATTTAGGTATACATTAGGGCAATCTCTAATCGAAAAATTCATTTTCCACTCCAAAATATAGCAAAACTTCAAAATGTAATCATTCATCTCCAATCGAACGTCATTTCTTATTCTTTGCATGCTTCCTGCGAAGGTAACCATCTTTGACACGCTTTTCCCATCTTTCACGCGCTTCTTCGGCAAATCCCGTAGCAAATTTTTTTGGCATGGGTAAACAGTCCACCACCAATATTGATGTCACACTGTTCACCAACCAGAATTTGACGTGCGATTTGGGATTCAAATGGAGCAAATGATAGACAACATACGGTGGTATGGAATTCGATTGAAGATGATCGTATACTTGTCCATTTAATAAAAAAACATAAAGCCTCTAAAAATTTCTTCATAAAAAAAATAATAATAATAATTAAAAATGATAATCTCCTATTCCACCCATAAAAAAACGCCTTGTATTCCGGTCACTGATGCTGCTTTGCCTCTGCGTTGTTGCTGGAACAATCAAATTGAGCTGTATATTCCAAGCCAAAATAAGAAAGCATACAATGATAGCTATTTGGCTCCACACAGCCTGATTTGTTGTTAGCTGATGCTTTTGCTGTTTTTGCAAGAAAATAGGACCATAAACAACAACAGGTTGCTTTCCAGAGACCAAAAACAGCGTTGAGTGATTTCTGTCCAGCAAACAAAGACAGTTCAGATTGTTGTTTTAAGCATGAGAAGAATCCAGTGGTTGCCTTCCTTGCAAAATAATAGGACATGAACACAGAAAGAGGGAGACATACACACCAAGTAAAATAAAGCAAGACGGTTAATCTCTGCGTCACATATTTACTTTCCAAAAAAGAGTTTCTAGACTATGCTTGGATGACTTCAATGCATTGTGAATGACACTAAGGCTTCGCTTGAGACCGCTTTTTTATTACTTTTTAAAACAACTTTCTAGTTTAAAAATTAAAATTTGTACAATAGAAAACTGCTTTAAGAAGCAGTAAGAAAGCCGTCTCGAACGAAGCCTACGGCTCCATTTGAGATGGCTTTCTTACTGCTTCATTAAACAACTTTCTTGTACAAAATTTTAATACTATAAAGCTATTTTAAGAAGCAAAAAATCATCCCAAATGAAGTCTAAAACTTTTTTTGGGATGACTTTCTTATTGAAGCAATTTTTTAATACAAAAATTTTAATTGTTTAACTAGAAAACTGTAAGATTAAGCAAGAAAGCCGTCCCAAACAAATCCTGTGAACCTATTCCATTCAGAACCCAATTTATTACAAGTTCCGAGTTCCATTCTTGCTTTCTGTTCTTTTTATTTTCGCACTTGACACTTAAGAAAATGCACTTCAATTTATAAACATACACATCATTTTTAAAGAATGTAACTGCTTTGGTTACTACATAAACATAAATACAGCTTTAGGTAGTTTTTATATACGTACCGAGTGTATGCGATCAGAAATACTTTAGCCCAAATTCTGCCCTGACAAAAGAGGTCACAAGGGTATATTTGAATTTTACAAATATATATTTAGTGACCACCATGATTGAGTAAACTCGACCTGCTAAATTAAAAAAAAAAAAAATATATATATATATACACGCGCACACCCAAAATATTGAAATGGGAACATTTTCTCCCCAAGTCAAACATACACACACCAAATATGGAACTTTTATTTTGTCCGATCACCCTAAAAGTTCCATTCATTGACTAGGAGCATATTTGACTTGGGGAGAAAATGTTCCCATTTCAATATTTGGGTGTGTGCAATATTGAAATGGGAACTTTTTCTCCCCAAGTCAAATATGCTCCTAGTCAATGAATGGAACTTTTATTTGGTCCGGTCACCTAACGTAGCTCTACGTTCGAACGCCACTAAATTAGTGCCACGTGTTCTCACTATTTACCGCGCGGCCCGACAACCCGACCCAGAACGGAGCCGGGATTGCTATGTTTGCGTATTGCTAGGTATTGGTCGATTTTGCTCAGCAATAATGAGAAATACCATTCTGTGAAGACCAATACCGAACAATACCGAGAAATACCGAGCAATACCGAGTTTTTCTCGGTATTGCTCGGTATTGGTCTTGACAGAGCGGTATTTCTCGTTATTGTCAAGCAATACCTAGTAATACCAAGTAATACCAAGCAATACCGAGTAATACGCGAACATAGCAATCCCGGGTCAAGTCGTCGAGCCACGCTGTAAAAAGTAAGAGCACGTGGCGACATATTATTGGTGTTCGAACATAGAGCTACGTCAGATCACTTGACCTAATAATTATTCGTATGCTGCTCATCCCGTCAGATTATTCTTCAAAAAAAAAAGGAGCAATTCTATGCCACGATGAGGCAAAAATAGTAACATAAACGCACTAGATGGGAGATGTAAGCATCAATTTAAGAAGAATTTAAAATGGAACAAAATAAAGAGCAAAACTAAAAAATAAAATCAAAGAAGTGATCCAAAACGACCAATAAGATAACACAATATCCTTCTACAGTCCACTAAAGCTACAAAGACTGGAGAAAAAACAACAATGCTATAACATCAAGCCTTTATACCAACGTGGGGTTAACTATATGAATCTTTTTTCTTCATTGTGTCATATTAAGAGTCAAATTCTCATTTAAATCTAATAAAGAAAGGTTATTTATAATACTTTCTTAACATGTCTTTTTAGGTCTACCACTACCATTCTTAATATAGGAAAATATCTATTACACATACTCTCCTAACCTAATCATCGGAAAGTCAACACTTTATATGACCAAATCATCTAAGATGACTCTCTCTAATCTTATATGTCACTGGAGCTACCCCAACCTTTTCACGCATATACTCGTTTTGTATTTTATCTCTAAGAGTAAAACCACTCATCCAGCTAAGCATTCTTATCTCTGCAATACTTAAATTTTGGCAGCTGAACTTTGATCTTTAGATTAATTTAGTTCAGCCGTGTAGCTTATTACTTGATAATAGTAATCTAACGGGTTTGAGAGAGTTATTGTCATCCGACGGGTAAGCATTTCATAGCATTCAAATTCAGCCAAATCTCCAAGCGAAAAAAAAAGACAGTAAACTCTTATTCATCCAAGTGAAATATCATGTCTCATTGAAAGCAAATAGATTAGACTAAAATTCAGTACCAAAACATAGACTAAAATCTTCGGAACACATGATCCATAAAAGTCATTAAAAAAATAAAAAATAAAAAATAAAAAACATTTACGAAACAATGAAGCATTGAACTAAACATTCTTTGACCAACTCTTTCAATCTATAGACAGGATTAGCATCTTTAACACCTATAAATGGTAATGCATATAGCAAAATCTTATTCTTCACTTTCCCAGTCCTTTTTCAGTCCGCATATTAGGGGCAGCATTGTTCTCTTCATACAACCAAGCTTGCTTGTTACCATTTGTTTTATGCAAAACTAAAATGTTCTTTTACACATAAAACTGAGTTACAATAAGGCAATTCTTCCGAAGAATTGCTTGATTCGCTAACATCAACTATTGCTGGGATCATAAAATTCCTAACTGATCAAGCACAAATCTTCATAAAAGGAAAATATATAGGGCTCACTTTTACTCTATTTGTCTAAATTGATGACCAAACAAGCTAAGAATGATGAACCAGGCCTCAGACAAGCATCAAGCCCTTAGATGCATAGATCGCTCAAAATAGAGTTTGAATGACTCTGAACCTGTCAATTTCGGCTGCTCCAGCCACTTCAGCTTCTTGCCTGCAACAAAATTGCAGGTTGGACGGCCTTGAGTGGTGGTGGCAAGGCAATCACTGTTGGCCGCGGCTAGACCACTCACCTCTAGTCCCTAAGATGTAACTTGGCCAACGACCCAAAGAGCACCCGTATTGATGTACAGACAGGGGTCAAGGTCATACATTTCAATTTCTTCCACCAATATCCTACACAATACAAAATTATTAATGCATATCAACTAATTGGTTTGCAGCAACTTCAAATAAGAAATATTTAAGTGATATTTCTATCAGATTTTGCTGAGGACACCTAGATGGCTAGATGTCAGAATATCTTAAACATTGTTGCGTCCTGAAACATTCATAGCAATAGAGAGAAATAGAGCTTAATGTCTTAGTTGTGAACAAAGATCCAGTACACAAACAGATAAAAGAGAGGGGTGCAGCGTTAAGAGAAACCAAGAATTTTATGTGAAAACACCCTAAAAGGGAGAAAAGTCACAGGGGCTAACCCAGTTTAAATTAATCCACTAGTATCGATGGTTGATTATAAATAATATTCCTCCTCAGAGGAGGGTACTAGCTTAATGTAGCAAATACACATTGCATACAGCTCGTTACACGATAAATATTCTTAAAGAGAGTTGACATGTTTGTTTAGTTAGTAGGACCATAGTCCGCAGGTAAAGGTAGTCGGAGGGACTGTAGTCGATTGACGCGGTGGTCCGAGGGACCGTAGTCGGCGGATGACAGTGGTCAAAAGGACTATAGTCAACAAGAGACAAAGGTCGGAGGGACCATAGTCAGCGGTGACGGTGGTTAGAGGGACCGTAATCGGTTGGCGATGGTGGTCAGAGGGATCGAAGTCAGCGGGAAGCAGTGGTCGGAAGGACCGTAGTCGGCTGGCGACTATGGTCGGAAGGATCGTAGTCTAGTGACGGTGGTCAGAATGACTGTAGTCAGCGGGCGATAGCAACAGTTGTCTAAAGTACCTTAGTCGGCGGGCGAAGGTGGTTTGAAAGACTGTAGTCGACGGCGTACGGTGGTTAGAATGACCGATGTCGGCAAGCAACGGTGTTCAAAAGGATTGTAGTCAGGCGACCATAGTTAAAAGGACTGTAGTCGGCGAGAGACGATGTTCGGATGGACCGAAGTCGGCGGGCGACGGTGGTCAGGACTGTAGTCGGCGAAAGATGGTGTTCGATGAAGCAAAGTCAACGGGAGACAGTGTTCAAATGGACCGAAGTCGGCAGGTGACGATGGTAAGGACTGTAGTCGATGGACGACAATGGTCGGAAGGACCGAATTATGCGGGTGACTGTAGTCGGCGGTCGATGGTGGTCTGAAGGATCGTAGTCAACGGGTGACAATGTTTAGAAGGAGATCTAGCGACGGAAGCATTCGGTAAAAGTTTCGGTGATAGCCAGAGAACAAGTCGAAGTTATGCCCTGATCAATGGCCGAGAAGAACTCCGTCGATGACAACATTAGATGGAAAGTGCAAGAGAGCTCTTAAGCTTTCTTCTCTTCCTCCTCCACCCTTTTATGAAGACTAAGAGGTCTATTTATAGTTTTTTGGGAGTGATATGACGAGTAAATAGGAAGAAGATCGAAGGTATGTTAGGAGTGTTTTAATCGACGGCCGATATCAACTCCCTCAATCAAAGATATTTCTCAAGCGTTTGGGTACCCTAATGATGTTAGAATTTGGCGATCTTGGGTCATTGGATCATTGGATTCGTCTCATCGAGCCTCTTGATTCGACTATAAGCATGTCACATTTGGATATTGATTGATCATCCAATTAATATTTTGAAGCTTCTAAATAGACTTTGGACCCTCAATTTGGACTCATTTGGGTTTGGATTGGGCCAATTTTGGTGTCCTTGGGTTCATCTCTTCGAAACATTCAGTTGGGTTCGGATTGGACCGATTTTGGTGTCCTTGGGTTCATCTCTTCGAAACATTCAATTTGACTATAAGTTTGCTCAAATCGGAGTTTGGATGGTCCTGTATTTAATTTTAGAAGTTTTTTATTTATATTTACAATGAGATTCGTGCGATAATTTTTTGATGACGAATCAAGTATCAAATATAAATTGGACACAATAATTAACACATAAAACTGAACCCAGTACACAATTCTCAACAGATAATGCTCAAATCTAAACAAAACGTTAAAAAACATCCATAAAGATGGCTGTTTTCAAGAATTCTTGTAGATTTTATGAGTTCACTCAGCCATGTGCAAGCTTCAAACCCTCCCACAAACTTGAAAAGGAAAGACAATGAATGCATTCATTCAACTACTTTTTTTTTTTTGGAAGCAATGCATTCAATTGAACAACAATACTCCAGATTAGCTCAGCTTTTCCAAGGACATAGATTTCAACAGTCAACAAAAAGTAAACTATGAAAAAAAAAGGCAGTCCTTGACCTAGAAAGATGGCGCGGAAGCAGGAGAATTCCCATGGACGGAAGCACAAAAAACCTGAACCTGCTGTGAAAACTCCGGTTGGAAAGGCTTGGCCGTAAAGATTCTCTCGAAGCAACGGTTGCTGAGCGCCTTCACAGCGTCGCAGCACTCTAAGCTCAGCAACAATTTCCCCTTCTCCGATGAATCGTAGATGGATGACATGCATCCCGGCGGTTTTCTGAGATGGGTCCAACATTCCCTGAGTTCTGGATCGCGCAGTATGGGAGAAGGAAGTATACCAGGAGAAGGCCATTTCCACTTTCGTTGCGATCCTTGGTTTTCCACCGGCAGAGCATGCAAGACCAGGAAGGATAGCGATATCAAAAGTAGCGCGAGCTCTAGGGTCGTCTTCATCGCCAAAGACCTCTTTGACTGTCGAGCTTAGGGTTTTGGGTTTTAATGCTGAAGATAGGGCGGAGGTTACGGCGTTTTAATGCGTTCCTGGTCGCTTCTAAGGCTTCGTTTGATTCCCCTTATTACATAAAAAGAGTTTTAGAAAAGGAGGTTGAGAAAAAGTACGTTCAATAAAATGAAATTTCAATAATGAGATATATTTGATTAATATTTTTAAAAGAGCTTATTAATACTTGAAAGTAATTTTAAATTATTTATTTAGAAGTTCTGTTTTTGAGATTTTATTATAAAAGACATAATTCGCTTTCGAAACTCCGTTTTGTGACCAAAGAAGCAGATACGAAAAAAATTTTGTAACCGCCGAAAAAATGATGTTTATTAAAAAGGAATTATTGTTAAGCTTTGATTCCAAACAGTAAATACTAATTGATTTCGGCGTATTCAAACGGAAATGGCAAAAAAAAGCCTAATCAAACGAGGCCTAATACAGAATTTAATTACTTTGTCGGTGTTTGAACGGTTAATATGCTTAGTAATGTTACTCGACTTTAAAAAGATCCTAATACATAACTCCTAAAGAATAATTTAAAAAAAAAAAGCGATAAAAATTTTTTAGGCTAAAAAAGTTATCATTTATCAAAATATTTTTAAATTATATGAACTAATATAATCTTACTCTTAAATATGAATGGATGAGGTTTTTAATGTATTAATATAAACACAAAAATACATATATGATATGGCACTAAGGTTATAAATGACTAGAGTCGAGCTAATTATCTTATTGGATAATATACCTACAATGGCAATACATCTTATATGATAAACTATTACTCAAATTTTTGAAAATCGGACC